CCCCGGTGGCCGCTGCGCGCTGCGGGAGACGCGGAGCCGGAGGACCAGCCCTCGCCCGAGCCGCAGCCGCAGCCGGAGCCCGAGCCGCGGGGCGGGCGCGAAGATGCACACGACCCAGAAAGACACGACGTACACCAAGATCTTCGTGGGAGGGCTGCCCTACCACACCACCGACGCCAGCCTGCGCAAGTACTTCGAGGTCTTCGGCGACATCGAGGAGGCGGTGGTCATCACCGACCGGCAGACCGGCAAGTCCCGGGGCTACGGATTTGTAAGTTACAGGGATGGGGTGGGGGGGGAGAGGGGAGCCACAAAGAGAGGAGCCTGGGGGGAGGCTCTCTGCCCTCGGGGGTCAGAGCTTGGGGTGCAGGAGTCTGTGGGACCTTGCGGGGCGCCCCGCGGGCATGAGCAGAGTCACCCCCTTGGTTGAAACTTTGCGGGTGGCGTGTTTGGGGAACCAGGGCCGGTGTCTGCCTCTCCGGGTTCCTAGAGGAGCAAACTCGGTGTTCTGCAGGGGGAACAGGCAGGGGTGGACCGGGAGAACCTGAGGCAGCTGGATCTGGGATGCCGAGGGCTGGGAGGGAGGGAACGCAGCCCCGCACCCTCGCTTTCCGGGGTAGGAGGCTGGTGGTTAAGTGCACTGTTGCTTTGTTAAAAAAATAAAATGCGTGTGTCCTCCGGTCAGAGTAGGGAAGAGACCGCCCATTCCCCAGAGATCTGGGGCTGTTTCTTCTCCCGTCACACCCCCTACCCTTTAAATTACAAAGGTAAATTACAAAAAGAAAAGAAAAAGCGAATCCTCTGGCTGTTTGCCGAACTGAAACCCCACATTAAGCTTGCGGGAGATTTAAAGGAGCAAATTCAGCTGCCCGAGAGCCCGGAGCCCGGAGCAGGACAATAGCTATTGTCGCTGGGGAGTGTGTGCTGGTTGGGAGCACCGGCTGGTTTGAGGCTGGACTTTCTTTAGAGAACAGTGCCTCTGGGGCCCAGTGGGGACCAAAGCGCGCTATTGCGAAGGGGGGTAAATCTACAGGGTAATTAAGAATTCAGGCTTCTAGATCTCTGCTAGGCCCTAGCACCCTAAGGACTTTCAGTGGAGTAGAAGGCTTCCTTCCTTCCTTCCTTCCTTCCTTCCTTCCTTCCTTCCTTCCTTCCTTCCTTCCTTCCTTCCTTCCCTGCCCTCCCTCCCTCCCTCCCTCCTTCCTTCGTTCCTTCCTTCGTTCCTTCCTTCTACTTATTTTTTTTAAACAGAAAATGAAAGGTAATGTTCTAACCCCCATAAATAAGAGGGGAGAGAGAGAGAGAGAGAGAGAGAGACAGAGACAGAGAGACTGAGAGAGACTGAGACTCAGTGACTTCAACGTTTTTACTTCAGGGGTTAACTGAGGGCATTGTATGTATGTCTGTGTGTGTTGCTAAGGTCACCATGGCTGACCGGGCTGCTGCTGAAAGGGCCTGCAAGGATCCCAACCCCATCATCGACGGCAGGAAGGCCAATGTGAATCTGGCATATTTAGGAGCAAAACCAAGAATCATGCAGCCAGGTGAGCAACGTCCCTCACCCCTCCCCCGAAGAACTCCCCACCTATCAGTAGAATGGCCCACCACCCAGCTACCCCAAAGACATTGACTCCCTGAAAATCTGTAAATGTGTTTGGTAAAACTTGAGCCATGGCTAGTCATGCTATCAAGGCATTAAAGATACATGAGAGTTGTAAATATCCCACTGGGTACTTGAAATGTATCTATGTGCAAAAATAGATCTTAGGGTCTAGATAGCTTTCACTCTAGAGAATTAAGTGGATTCCTGTGTTTCCTGCATTTGTTCTCTGGTCTCAGTTTTCTTATTTTTATTTAACCACTTGTAGCTGAAGCAGTGACCTGGATGGGCCAAATTTGTCAACTCCAGCTAGTGAACCTCCCTTCTTAGTGTGCTCTCTTTGAAGGCCATTCGAACCCTGCTCAGAGCAGGCATCTGACTTTAACTCTGACCTCAGAGAGACATGGGGGCTGGGGGGTAGTGGTAAAGCCTTTCAGGTAAAATGACAGAATACTAACAGTCCAAAAGCAGGTGATTTCACCTACGCAAGTTCCGTGTTTTTTAAATGACACACTTACATGAGGATGAGAAATAATGTACTAAAATCTGCGTGGCAGTTGACAGAAGGACATAGCAGTCTATCTATGTAAAGAGATGACTGGTTGGATTATTTACTACTGCCCTTTGCATGTTTTGAAAATAACTTTGAGAGTTGATGATTGAACAAATGTCTTCATTTCCTTGGACAAGCAACTTTGGCTCCATCATGTCACTCAGTCTTCCCATCTGAAAGTTTGGAAGAAGGCTGGCACTTCTATCCAGAAGGGTTTAATGGGGAGCTAGGTTGTCAAGAAAAGGAATACAAGGAGAAATACCCATAAACATTAAAAATATGTATTTCTAAAATACACTGTGTGTATACTGTTCCACAAAGAATGGTAGAGGAGTTTTTTTCATGAGTTTTTTAATACCGTAAACTATAAAATCCATAATCTTCCAAAGCATTCTAGAATGTTCCAAATTCCCAAGACTTTTATTTTCCTTTATTAAATCATGGGTCTGAACTGAATTTAACTTCAGCGTGGTTGGTTTCCTCTCATAAGCATTTTTCTCTGATCTAAATTTTCTAAGGCCTTTTTTATAAATGTCTGTCAGCTAAACTTTGCAGAAGTTTTTAAAAGTTTTCCATTTGTAGTCTATTAAAAACCTTTGTTATTTTGAACAGATGATAACATTTATAAAACTCACTTTAAAACTTATCTATAGAGAGACTATGTACATGTGTGCTCTATCATAGGAGTGAGTCTTTTTTTAACCAGAAGTTGTGATTGTAGTTTCTATGTAGGAACAATAAGACCCTAACAGTGTGCAAATGAGAATGTGGTATGTTTTATTGTTAGGTTTTGCCTTTGGTGTTCAACAGCTTCACCCAGCCCTTATACAAAGACCCTTCGGGTAAGTCAATTCAACAAGCCTTCTAAAGTTTCAATGGCTACCATTTGTTTTCCTGCCTCTTTGTTACAAACAGACAAGGTCAACATGTCACAGAATGTTGCAGGCTATACATATATATTTATGCTTATGTATTTTTTACTATAAATATTTTTAGATGAGTCAAGTTATCTGACCAAGTATGCAGCCTCCAAACCAGCCAAATGTTGAGCTTATGATTAACAAAACAAAAAACAAAAATACCAGGTATGACTTGTGCACAAGATGATTGTGTCCCACACCGTTCCTGCTGTTCAACTTGACTCAATGTTATTTATCTCTTTCTAACCTGACAGGGCTCGTATACAGTTAAGCTAACTGATGAGAAGGATGCGATGATAAGAGGTGGACTAGTTCTGTTTGGAGTTAAGCTCTGTAACCAGTAGACTCAGACACACGAGCTCAGATGGTGATTAACCATGCATGGATGTTGGTGGTGTTGTTTTTATTTTTCACAATAGTCAATAGCCCTCCGTGTGCTTTATTTTATTTATTACAGTAATGAAGTGGTGTTGATAGCTAAACTGTGTGCTTTGACTTAATTGAAAAGAGCTGTAGTGAGAGTGTTTTCTTTTTCTTGGGGAAGGGGCTCTTTGCCGTTTGGTTTTGGTGGTGGTGAGCAGTCTGGACTTTTCACTTTGCCATGGGAAGCAAAGGGCCTTTTTCCCCTGCTTTCAAGCCAGCCTGTGACTTTTATTTAACCACATTTCTGTAGTGAGTGCTAAATCGTGTGATTTCTCTCTGTAAGAATAGAGACTCACTGCTTGCATGATCTAAGTTTCTGTTTTCTGGGAAGTTTTCTGGGAACGGCTTTCTTTCTTTTACAATGTATATCTACTTTTAGGTCTTCTGATTTAAAGGCTCAGATTTCATTAACATTCACCAGTTTGAGCTTTTTTTTTCTCTCTCTCTTAATTTTGTTTGTTTTTTGTTTGGAGTAGCACAGTACTAACTTCCTCCTTTCAGATCTAACAGGTGGACAGCCTGCTTATATTTGTGTTTTCTCTGGGTCCTGTCATTACCAGCTTCTGAGGTCCCAGTACCCTCACATTTAAACATGACATGGGTGGGAGGCCACCCATCAGTTTAGCCTGGACATAAGAGTCTGTTTCAGCTATGATTGATATTCCTGCAACTCTAATTCTTTTTAAAAAAAAAATATTCTAGCTGTTCAAAGGATTTTCTCCTCAGCACTTGTTTCTCCCCTAATTTAGAACCTAAACATCTTCCTGCATCACCCAGAAGGCTGGAATCTGTCTACACAGATACCTACCGTAAATGTCTCCAAATGTAGGTGAAAGCAGAAGGTATAATTTGATCAGGAAGTGGCAAGTTATATTTTTGATGAATAGTTTACTATCATCTTAGTACTTTATCAATAACTCAGTCACTCTCATAGCCAATGCCAGATTTTTTTTTTTTTCGCTGTAGTTTAAGTTTAGCTAAGTATCAAAGCCCCTTCCAAGCCAACCCTGATGTGGACAAGCGTGATAGGTTAAAGGTCTCTCTCTCTCTCTCTCTCTCTCTCTCTCTCTCTCTCTCTCTCTCTCTCTCTATCTCTGTGTGTGCTTTTGGGGATGTTTTCTT